ATAATCAACGGGAATTGGTCTTTTACGATTCTCCTATTGTCCCAGTTCACTGGCGGACAGCGTCGGTCCATCGCCCCTCAATTATTTGGTACGTATTGTCAATTCCCTGTCATTCTTTTCATCGATACGTCAGTGTCGCAAACTGTGGACGCCGCATTAAAGCGCGCTCATACTTTGCGACAGTGTGCATTCACCTGCGTTTTGAGCGTCCAACCACTTCGAGCATGCCCCTGCGTTTGAGCGACTAGTATAGTTATCGCGAACGCTGTCGGCGCTCAAAACGCTGGCAAACGCTCAAATTGTGGGTGGACGCTAAGAACGCTGACGCTCAAAACGCAGGTGAATGCAAAACACTGTCGCAAAGTATGAGCGCGCTTTAAGGCGGCGTCCACAGTTTGCGACACTGACGTATCGATGAACAGAATGACAGGGAAATGACAATGCGTACCAGATAATTGAGGGGCGATTGACCGACGCTGTCCACCAGTGAACTGGGATAATAGGAGAATCGTAAAAGACCAATTCCCGTTGATTATTTCGGAGCACATTCTCCGGTTCTCCTCTCCCCTTCCCCTCCGGTGTCGCTAAGTATAAGCGCGGCCTCACAAAGAATAAAGGGTATGACCGCAGAAGGACCTCTTTGCACTTTCTGCTCCACAGGCTTGATAAGCTTTGTAACATCTCGTAATTCGTCCATCTCCTTCTTCTTCTTCGCCTCAGCAGCCTTGATCAGATCCAGACGGGTGTTGTTGTTTCGGATCTTAACGAAAAAATGTTGTAAAAATCTGAAAAAAACATTCCACATTTGCTAACCTGATTTTGAATTTGTTGGACGTATTTCTGATTTTGTGCCCCTTTCTTATTCTTCATACCAAAGGTCTTGTCCTCGATGATCTTCTCCTTCTTCTTTTGCTCTGCCTTCTTACTCGGTTGCTGTTTCGGCGGCATTGTTCAGGACCCTCGTGAGTTCAAGATAGCCTAAATGAAAGAATAGCAAGGCACTAGGCAAGGAGTCCAACAGCTATTATTAAGTTTCGGCGTTATACCACTGATATTTAGTAATTATATGAAGACCAATATTCAATGAAGTCGCAGAGAAACTTCCCTTAGTTAAGGGCGCAGGCCTATTCGAAAGTTATCAGATCAGAATGAGCTATGACACTAGCCTGGCAATTGAGGCAGGGACAGACTGTTGCAGTGGTTTCATACTTTGCGACTTTGAGCGTCTGTCAGGGTTTTCAGCGATAATCGAACTTATGGTTTCTTAGGCACTCCAAACTTCCGGAACGCTCATGGGCGCTCAAAACGCTGAAAGACGCTCGCAAAGCTGCCGCAAAGTATGGACGCACTCTCGATGTAACGGTAGGTCATCGAAGTGGGAGGATTTCTTCTCAATATGACTCTTCCTCCCCAGTGCTGTGGATCACAGCCATGATATGCCCTGCCAACGAATTAGCCCGCTAATATTTTGTAACAACTGCACATATAAAGCCAGAATTTTCTTGAAAGAAAAATGAAGCAGAAGTAATGGAAAACTTTAGCCAAAAGAATAACGACTAGATACCTAAAGCCTATATGGGACGCTGTCGGTTAAAAAACGTAAACCCAGCTCAGAGGAAACTATGGCCAACTTTCGATCAAATCACGATGTCGAGGAAACCCCACACGCCAAAGTACGAGACTCCCAAAAGTTGGAGTTATACGTATCAACACCAGCAGTCGCAAAATGAAGAGGAAGGGTGGTGAATCGACAGAAACAAACTCGCCCAGTCCTTTGACCTTGCTTGAATTCCAATCACAAGGGCCATCAGGTCTAGTTTTTTTAGATTCATCTGGGCCAGCCAGTTTGGGCCAGATAAGTGATGTTCTCGAATCCATAGCCCAACTTTCTTTCCACTCCCCAAACGCTAGTCAAAATTTTTGAAATTGGCTGATATTTGATGCAACTCATCCGTTTTCCCAATTTTTTCTCGGTCTCCGCAGCGAGGGCCGAAGGTGAGCCACAATAAAGACGAGCACGGCTAATGCCGTTTGGTCACCAAATCTGCTAAAAATTTGTATATAGGGGTAGTTCAACATCCTGATTAGAATATGTCGTTTCGCTCTTGTCGCTGGCGCTAATGGATGACACTACGATTATCTGCGCTCTGCTAAGGCTGAGCCTAGGAGGTGATCCTAGTGTCCTCTCTTGACGCCAGCGACAAAAGTGAATGTCATATTCTTAATCAGGATGTTAAACTACCCCTATATACAAGTTTTTGGCGGATTTGGTGACTTAGGCAATTTACAAATGCTGCAAATGGGCTCGGCGTGGCCGTCGAATTCTTGGCAGTCAGAACCGGCATTAGCCGACGAGCACCGCCTCATTAAGCTCACAGTTCTGCATACATATTGGAAAACATAAACAGACATATCAATCATGTGTGAACATTAGAGCCGAGAGTAAAGGAAATAGAAAGTACAGCAACGAATTCGAAGAGAATGACTGAAAAAGAAATATGAACAGTTCATTTCGAGGAAAGAAAAAACGTCTACTAACACCAACAGATTTGATATCGAGTGTGGAAGCGTTCCAAATAAGACAAGAAGCTAAGCGCCCATAAGAAAAAGAAAGAACGAAAGAAAGAAAGAAGGAACAATTCCGGCCAGTCGGGTCAGCTCGAATCCGTCAGTCGTGCCAACAGATGTAGACTGACGCGCCGCCGGTGTTACAGAATCACTTCAAGTACTTCGATCGAGCTTTCTTGCCAACGTTGACGTGAGCGGGTGAGTTTTTTTTAGTGATGAGTTATCATTACTGCATTTGATGTGGGCGTTTCGACGAGAGTAACCTGAAGCGAAAGCGCTAAGTTTGAGAATAATTTAATAAAAGTAGAAGAAGTGTGTGTGTGTGTGCCTTCATACGCAAGGATTCCGCGGAAATCGCGGAAAAAGACTGCATGCTGTAGATTTGAAGAGTCCGCAGGATTTGTAGACTTCGAAGAATGCGCAGAATTGGAAGAATAGGCGAGATCGCCGAAGAAAATATTAGTTGATTCCTTGCTTCCGTCTTCGTTAGTCCGCGAACTCTGCGAAATCCGCGGACTCTTTACATAGGTGCATATGCATTCTTTCATCGCGGATTGCGCGTTCTGCGGAGTCAACTGGTTCGTCTCGGTTTCGTTTCGTATTGGAGCACATTCTCACCCGCCTCGCGAAAACCTTCATCCTTTGGGATTCGCTAGTTTTTCCCACCCCTAAATGCCGTCCAAGATAATATTCGGAGGAACGGCGAAGCTCGAGACATGAAGTTGCATGCATTTTGCGAGGTAAACTTTGAACGTGAAGGTTTGAAGGGTAGTAAGGCGGCCGAAATGCTAGGAATCGCAACGGAAGACCGATTCACTTTGCCCAGCGTTTGTGGATCGCACTGGATATTCCCGTTTAATGCCTAGAGTTTCCTTCGCCCTCATCCCCTTGAAATCTTCACGAAAATCTGCTTTCAACAGTGCAGATCTTTCACGGTAAAGAAAAAAGTTTGTGAAGGGGCTTGCCATCATTAAAGACAGCCACCGCGCTCGAGTAGTACATGGTCGTCCTTCCTTGTGCAAGTAGTTCAGCCCCCAAGCTAGAGACTATCCCACTCTCGCGACTCCACAGCGAGCGAGGAGCGAGCTACAGCCGCTGAAAGTTCTAGTTCCCGCCCAGTTGGACCGCCCACTTGCTAGATGCCGACGGAGAGCCGCTCAGTTGTTCTTTGTTGGGGCGGCGGGCATTAATCGGAACTGCATGCTCTTTTTGCTGACCGCGCTCGTGCCCATGAATGCTTCTGGGCGCTAACGTAGTTGGGAGGGGCCACGCGGCTCGCGGCGAGCAATGACTCATCTGCTCCCTCCTCGGCAAAATAGAAGTAATTTCGTGTTTAGGACATGAATATAACTTCGCCCTAGCTATATTCAAAAGTTAAAACAGTTAACACTGAAAAGTGCAAAGAAACAGTTTTAGGCTGCAAGGTTCTTGCCTAAACTACAGAATCTTGTTGCATGTTTGTCGGCCCGGTGAACTTGTTTTATTCTGATTTGGCTGCTAGATTCGCGTTTCAAGTATGCCGATGAGTGAAGAGCCGATGAGTCATCACTCGCCGCGAGCCGCGTGGCCCCTCCCAACTACGTTAGCACCTGCTTCTGCTCTCTTTATTACATTTTATTTACTAGGAGCACATACAGTCAACTCCAACCATCTTGCAAGGTAAAACGCGTAAAAATCACGAGCGACCCAATTTTCGTGGTGCAAAAGCTCGACGCACCACACTACACTAAAAGATGCACGCTACCGTAACCCTAAATTCAGACGCCTAGTTTTTGAAAGTTTTTCCTTTCAAGAGTTT